AACTATCCTACTAAATCAACAAAAAATAATGAAGAATTGAAAGAACTGAGAGCTGCGGAAAAAAGCAGAATCCAAGAAGAATTTAAAGTTCAGATGGGATTAAACATCGACAAACCACTTTCAAGTTGCGGTAGTACAAATGACGGTAATACGGCGAGAAGGTTTTTTCGTGATTTTGAAATTACTTCAAAAATAACTGGAATCGACAAGGAGTTGCTTCGAAGAGTTAAAACTATTTTAATGGCACTGAATAGTAAACATAAAATTAATGAAAATCGATTTGGGGAATACACATCTGAAATTTCTAAATTACTTGTATCTCTGTATCATGGAGGGAACTAACACCAACAGTACACAAAGTATTGTGTCATGGTCAAATAATAATTGAATCGAATATTCTTCCACTTGGAGAGTTAACAGAAGAAGCCCAGGAAGCGAGGAATCGAGATTTTAAGCATGTTCAACTATTCAGCTCAAGAAAATGCTCCAGGCAATCACAGAATGAAGATATTTTTAATAGTTTACTTCTATCTTCTGATCCTGTTCTTTCAACTATGCGAAAAAGATGGATTTGTTATGAAACTCTATCACTCTATAACAAGGAAGATTTAAAGGACTTATATTACCTTCTGGATATGTATACCGATATGACAGATTATTTTATAGAAAATAAGTAGTGTTAGGAATTAACTATATAAGTAGGTTGTAAGAATTAATTGTATTATGTTTAAGATAAACAGTTCAAATAAAAAAAGCTATTATACTAACTGATGATATTGTATTAAATTGTGTTTTATATTTCGGTGGGCGGGAAAGCTATCTGCGATCCTATTAAAATTTTGATATAAATCATAGTTTTAGAAATTAAACAAATATGTAATATATGACAAAATCTTTATTTATGAACAAAACTCAATGAAATTTTCAACGCTTGTTAAATTGAAAAGGTCAAAGGGCATCCCGCAATTCCCAAAAATAGGAATGAAAATCCCAAAAATGGGATTTTTTACTTTTTTGCCCATAGGGTCCACATTTCTTTCAGGGCTGGGAAAATACTTTTGGAGTAAATAGAAAACATATTGAGGTTTCCAAAACTGCTTTCAGTTTTCTGATCCCAGCTTTGGGATTTTAGAACATGTCGCCCAAAGTTGAAGTTTTGATAAAAAATAGGTCATATTCGGAAGGACGCAGTGGCAACATTTTTAAAAAAATAGGACAAGTTTTTTACGCCAAAGCGTTCTGCGTAAAGGTACCTTTTAGAAAACTATAAAATTGTTATATGTTCTTAATAAAAATTTTATTTTATTAATAAAAGAGTTAAGACACATTTTTGGCAAAAAAACGCCAAAAATCTAAAATTTTTTGAATTTTTAAATTAAAAAACGTATATTTTTGGATCTGTAAACGATATTGATCTGAAATTTTTTGTATATTATTGGAAATTTTGTTGTCTAACTAACAAGAAAAAATTGAGTCCATTTGGTCCAAAATTACGCCCGGTATTCAAAAAAAGGCGGACCAAGGTATGGTAAATTTTGTATCACTAAATTTTTAAATGCCTATAACTCGGATATTATAAGAGATAAGTAGTATGTCCAAGCATGTTTTTTCAAGATCTCGTCGAGCGCTTTCACAAAATATAAAAATCTTTGTATTTGGGTGAAAAACAAAAAAATGGCACGAGTTTAAAAATTTTACATGTCGTAGGTACCCTACTTTGAGCCGCCACAGCGCCGTCCCTGGGGCATCTGCAGGGTTCATCTTCAAAATTTAAACTCGAATACTCCTTGGCTACGCTCACGCCAAATTTTATCCCGATCGGATCAGCCGTTTAGAAATGCCAGATTTATTTCCAAAAAATTTCCATTCTGCCCCACTGTGCAAAGGTTTAGCAATGTTTTTAATTTTCTCCTTAAAAGGTGACACCATTGCGTATGAGTATTACCTTTGAATTAAATATCAATTATACGTAGAGTATTTTCAAACATGATTATATTTTCATTTAAAAATATATACATAATATAAATTTGATTTTCATTTAGGCATTATAGTGCAATTCATATTAATAATATGCAAATGTGCAAGATTTTGATAACAAAAAAGTGTGAAATTGTGTTAAACAGTAATAAATTCTAAGCATTTAATATATCAAAAGCAACTACTTAATTAACAATATTAATATGTAAAATGTTTGTGTAAGCATACATATACGATTTTAAAATAAAAATAAATCTCAAAATAACCAACAAACCACATACACTCAAAGTTAAACACTTACTTTCGAAAATCCAAAACTAATACATGCAAACACACAATATACTTTGGTGGAACTAAAAACTAAAAGAAAAACAAAAAAAAAGAACCCTAGTGAAAATACTGCTGCTAACAACAACAACAGTTACAATATACACAAATAAACTTTTGTTATGTTAAAGTTTTTGACACCACTACTTATTACAAAACTTGCAGCAGAGAAACAGTAGTATGTATAACGAATGAAAATATAAAAGCAAAATATTACATATACATACTTATATACATACATATAAGCGTAAGTATATATAACTTATGCAAACGCGTATGTAGCAAAAAAAAACTTTAAATAAAATTTCATGTCATTTAGCTAATTAATTTTACTTTACCTCTCTTTTGGCTATACACACACACTCGCTCGCTCGCTTATACATAAACATTCATTTAACTTACTGAAACAACACTTAAAATTGTTTAAAATATATAGCAGCCTTTTGTGCGTTTAATGTCAAACAAAATATGAAACTATCAGGGAAAGAGAAACGGAGAAAGGTTTCTTACATAATGAAAAGAAAAAGTTTTTTTTTTTTAAATATGTATGTATTTTGTTTGGTTTTTGTTAAAGGCATCTAGCTTTTACACTTGTCTACAGTTTTGCCTTCATAATATTAGTGAAATTTTTTGCATAGCTTGTGATAAATTTAATACATACATATATAGTATATGACTATTTTTATATTTATAATTTTTATAAATAAAAAGCAAATAGTTAAGAAAAAGTTTTAATTTTTTTAAAGTTAATTACGTAAAACAAACAATATTATTCTATAGTATATTCCATTTTAAGAGAATTATTTATAAGCTTAAAAATTAAATTGAGAAAACTTTTAGTTTCATGACAGTAACAAAAACAAAACCAAAATGAATATTTTTGGAAGGCATTTTAATGTATGTATAGACAAATTTAAAGTTTCCAAACAAAAACTCTTTCACAACTAATTTGGAAAAATGAATGTAATGAAATTTGGCTTTTTGAATTTATATGAATTCAAGTGGGCTTTTTATACACAGATTTGGAAACGTTGTTTTGAATTGTTTTTTTATGTATGTTTATATATATACTTATTTTTGGAAGTTGGTTGTTAGCAAAAAAATATCAGTGATGGGTTTAATTAGGCGCTATATTGGATTTACTTATGTTTTATCAATGAAATGTGGAATTGTTAAATTATAAAAATAAACAAAATATATTCTTAAAAGAATAAAATTTCAGAACTTTTACAATTAGGGAACGATTTTTTTTAAATGTAAATCTTATTAACAAGATTTGCATTGAAAAAACTAGCTCCAACAAAATTAAAAAAAAAAACTGCGCTATTTTTGAGTTTGTTTCAAATAAATCACTTTTTCAACATTCCTGTAAGCTAAATTGTCCAAATCTGTGTGAGTCTAATACTGTGCAAGCTACACAAATTGAAAAATTGAGATGTTTCCAGTAGCTGAATAATACAGTTAACATCAAAACAACAGATCAATAAAGGTTGTTACTAACTATGATTTCCAACACAAAATGTGGCCAAACCGCATCAATGATCATATTAAATATAAATTATAAGATTTTAAGAGTAAAACTTCTACATTGTATGACTTATCGTATAAGTTTTCAATTTACTCCAAAAACTAAAGACAAAATGTCATAGTATAATATTACATTATCTGCTTTAAGCCCCAATTTATACTTCCTATTAAATACGCTCCTTTTTGGAACATGTACTTGTACATATAAAGTATATTTTTATGATTGTGAAGTGATACATATACCAGCAGTTTTATTTAATGTTAAGTTAACCGATTTCGGTAATAAGTACCCAAAGTCTTTAATTATTTGGATGATATAGAAGAAACGGAAGTAAATTATCAATTCAGTGTCTCAAAGTAATTCAGAGAGAAGCGAAATAAAAATGTTTTCATATCTAATAAATGCAGTGTCAAGATTACACGTATAGGCAAATTGTTTTTCTACTTAGTAGTAAAAAGTAATATTCCTAGAGCGTGGTAGTCAACGTGTACTGCAGGGATACTACAAACATAAAAACTTCAGCTGAAAAAGTAACTGTATGTAATGTTTTTTCTGTATATGTATCTATATAAGTGTAGCTACAAGTGAACATTGTTGCATTTTCATGTTCATGGGTTTGGCACAATGCGTGTATGGCAACTTAAACAACTCTATAAAATTTACGATTATTACAATGTTAACTGTATAAAAAGGGGCGTTAATACGTTTGTATGGTTGGCTAAAGATTTTAATGAAACTTAAAATAGCAGCAGAAAAAAGTAAGTAGATTTATGAAACAAAACAGAAAAGTGTGTTTAAATACACTTTACATACAGACCTATTATACACTAAGATAAGCATACATATTCAAAATAAATTAAAACGAAGAGGTTCTTTGTTGTATAAGGCCAAAAAAGAACGTAGTATACGTTTTTGCAAATTAAATTTAACTATATATTACCTTTTATTTCTACTTTCTTTTTGCTCGCATTTCTTTCTCACAATCATGCTCCTTTAAATAACCTTACATGGCATGGATGAAACGTTATTATAATGTCAAACCGAAAACGGTATCACAAACAATCACTTCAACTTCCGTCTGACATGTTTGTCAACATGTGTGTATGTGTGGATGTATGTAACATGTTTAACATGACCTTACAATAAAAATGACAATCATGATAATCAGATCCACCACAAGTAACATTGTCATTAGGCTCCACATTGAAACCGGATGACATTAAAGAAGGCGATGATGTTTATTTCGAATGTCATATTAAAGCAAATCCTAAGGAACATCGTATTACTTGGTCACATAATGTAAGTATAATTTTCAACAATTTCCCACTCACAATCTCATACTTGTTTTCATAGCACTGTAAAAGTCTTATAAATATTAAATAAGTTTATCTTTGATTTGAATGTGGTTGTAAGTTAATAAATTCTAATGATTTTAATAATACCAATACAGTTACCAGTATACTGTTTGTATACGTAGTCCTGTTGAATATGTTGGAGATCTAATTTTGAATTTCAATTTATTTATCTTAATGTATGTTTCGTATGAAACCCTAATCATGTTAGTGGTTATATCATTTAATATTATTGCATACATATTTTTAGATGAATCTAATTTGAAATCTCATTACATAATATAAAGTTGTTTAGTTGAACGTATACATTGTTGACAATAGGGCAAGTTTTGCTAAACAAATTTTTAGAGTTCGCTAAACTAATTTTTTAAGAACTAGAACTGAACTAGAACTGAACTAGAACTGAACTAGAACTGAACTAGAACTGAACTAGAACTGAACTAGAACTGAACTAGAACTGAACTAGAACTGAACTAGAACTGAACTAGAACTGAACTAGAACTGAACTAGAACTGAACTAGAACTGAACTAGAACTGAACTAGAACTGAACTAGAACTGAACTAGAACTGACTAGAACTGAACTAGAACTGAACTAGAACTGAACTAGAACTGAACTAGAACTGAACTAGAACTGACTAGAACTGAACTAGAACTTAACTAGAACTGAACTAGAACTGAACTAGAACTGAACTAGAACTGAACTAGAAACTGAACTGGAACTGAACTAGAACTGAACTAGAACTGAACTAGAACTGAACTAGAACTGAAACTAGAACTGAACTAGAACTGAACTAGAACTGAACTAGAACTGACTAGAACTGAACTAGAACTGAACTAGAACTGAACTAGAACTGAACTAGAACTGAACTAGAACTGAACTAGAACTGAAACTAGAACTGAACTAGAACTGAACTAGAACTGAACTAAACTGAACTAGAACTGAACTAGAACTGAACTAGAACTGAACTAGACTGAACTACTGAACTGAACTATAACTGAACTAGAACTGAACTAGAACTGAACTAGAACTGAACTAGAACTGAACTAGAACTGAACTAGAACTGAACTAGAACTGAACTAGAACTGAACTAGAACTGAACTAGAACTGAACTAGAACTGAACTAGAACTGAACTAGAACTGAACTAGAACTTGAACTAGAACTGAACTAGAACTGAACTAGAACTGAACTAGAACTGAACTAGAACTGAACTAGAACTGAACTAGAACTGAACTAGAACTGAACTAGAACTGAACTAGAACTGAACTAGAACTGAACTAGAACTGAACTAGAACTGAACTAGAACTGAACTAGAACTGAACTAGAACTGAACTAGAACTGAACTAGAACTGAACTAGAACTGAACTAGAACAGAACTGAACTAGAACTGAACTAGAACTGAACTAGAACTGAACTAGAACTGAACTAGAACTGAACTAGAACTGAACTAGAACTGAACTAGAACTGAACTAGAACTGAACTAGAACTGAACTAGAACTGAACTAGAACTGAACTAGAACTGAACTAGAACTGAACTAGAACTGAACTAGAACTGAACTAGAACTGAACTAGAACTGAACTAGAACTGAACTAGAACTGAACTAGAACTGAACTAGAACTGAACTAGAACTGAACTAGAACTGAACTAGAACTGAACTAGAACTGAACTAGAACTGAACTAGAACTGAACTAGAACTGAACTAGAACTGAACTAGAACTGAACTAGAACTGAACTAGAACTGAACTAGAACTGAACTAGAACTGAACTAGAACTGAACTAGAACTGAACTAGAACTGAACTAGAACTGAACTAGAACTGAACTAGAACTGAACTAGAACTGAACTAGAACTGAACTAGAACTGAACTAGAACTGAACTAGAACTGAACTAGAACTGAACTAGAACTGAACTAGAACTGAACTAGAACTGAACTAGAACTGACTAACTGAACTAGAACTGAACTAGAACTGAACTAGGACTGAACTAGAACTGAACTAGAACTGAACTAGATCTGAACTAGATCTGAACTAGAACTGAACTAGAACTGAACTAGAACTGAACTAGAACTGAACTAGAACTGAACTAGAACTGAACTAGAACTGAACTCATATTTTTGGGCACCCATAAATTTGTCTTTCCCAGAAACCTTATTTTGTTTTACTTATTTATAGTATTTTTGTTTTGTTTAAAAATATTTGCAGCACATTAAAATTTCTGTTGTCTTTTTTGGAATAGTACTATTTTTTCAATGCAAATTTTACTTTTTCTACCTTCATTTTCTGCAGGGTGTTCCCGTTACTCAGAATGTATCTTGGGGCATTATTATTTCAACACGTTCTTTGGTATTACAACGTGTGGCACGAGTACATGCTGGATTGTATGCCTGTTCAGCTGCAAATGATCGTGGGGAAACAACAAGTGCCATGGTGAATCTAAGAATAAGATGTAAGTTAACAAAAGATTTTTTGTTTGTTTTTGTGCGTTTTTTATTTATTTAACAATCATATAAATGTAAATAAAAAAAGTATATAGTCCCAAAAATTATAAATTTTATCGAAATATTATATTTTAGTTTGATTTTTTATTTTATTTTTCCTATTCTATTACAACAGTTGCAATGAATTAAATATTTGCATTTTTATTTCATACATACTTACATACATGCATACATATAATAATTATCTTTATTATTTCGTTATTTATTGAAACGTAAATGAGCATCGATTGTAAACATTTGCATACCATTTTATATTATTGGTTTATGCAAAATAACATCATGCATAATACATACGTGTAATCAAACAAAAAAATTACAATACAGGGTAGTCCATTTGTTAAGTATTTAGAGTATTTGCAAAGAACAAATATTCCCATTTTCATATACAGACATATGTAATTGACGCAGATGGCTTCGCAGCAGTTAAAACTTGCAGTTCAACTTTGCAAAACTATAAATACTAAATAAATCAGTCAGCTTAATTATGACCAATTGATATAATACAAGCTTACATATTCCATTTTAGTCCCAAAAATAATTTTAATCAGTAGCACTAGCCTTTGTTTGAAATTGTGTTTTTAGCAGTTACACGCTTTATGTCCACAGCAAACATCATCTAGTCGGCGACGGGTACGACTGACAAGTGCAATAAGAATTTTCCAAAAACCAGACTAACGAACTTATTTTGCAAGAACTTGTTTGCAACACTTGACACTTTGCAAGTGTTAGAAGACTCTTTTAAGTGCATGGAGGCACAAAACTGATTGATAGTCAATATCTTGAAATGTTAAAGTCAATAAGTGACAAAACATGCTTTAAAATTTTACCATCTATTGGACAATTCTGTACATACTTAGCTTATAGCCTATGGATTCAAATTCCATATATTTATATAAGTTCAAAATAAATATTATTTTAATTATATTGATGAATTTGGTATTATTATTATACGCGAATGTAATTTAATCAAATGAAATTTGTTGTATGTAAAATGATTTGAAAATTTAAATAGAGTAAGGCAGATAAATAGCAATATATAGTAGACAAAAATAACACTAGTCTGCAAAAAAAAAAAAAAAAAAAGAATTGAATATATTAACCCTTTCACTCACAAAACTATACCGCTGGACTTTTTATGGATATCTCTTCGCCACACACTTTATTTTGACGTATAATGGTCATTTTTGATGAAAAATGGAAAAAGTGTTTTCAAAGGATATCGCAGGATATTTTACTTTTTAGCATGTAGTGACACCAAATTGTAAAAAATAACTTGATTTTCTTTGGAAATAACCATTTACTGTAGCTGTGAACTCAAAGTTACGCTCTAAATCGAGAAGTATTTAAAAAAATATTGAGACACCGGTGTCCCGTATACGTATAAGAGTTAATACACAAAACCTACATCTGCCTTTCATTTCATTCTGTCACGTCGCACAGTGGTATATATATAAAAAGAGAGAAATCGCACAGTGGTATATACATAAAAAAGAGGGAAATAATTCTGTAACTTGTGTTG